ATAAAACTAGGAGCCAAAAACTAATAAAGATTCAAAGAACAAAACCCAGCACACCAATAGACTATGGGAGGAAAGATTAACTCTCAAAATATATATTGTTCACACCTCATTCTGATAGAGAAAAACCACATTTATATGTCAATTCCACAAGGCCTCCGACGGTCATAGTAGTAATTGGCTAATGATTAATGGGAGAATTGATTAGGATAATGAAAGGGTAGGATATAGTTGGCAATTTGAGAATGGTAACAACTAATTTATTGCAATGAGACCAAGTCAAAACCATTCAATGGTAAGATAATTCTCTCAAATACTTATGGGTAGAAATATGTTAAATAACATATACTCATTAATAAGGAAGGAAGGAATAAACCTTAGACCAGGGGCGGACCCACGTGTCTTCCAGAGGTTCACCCGAACCCCCTTGGTAAAAAATTATATCATATATATAAGGTAAATTTTATGGATTTATGTGAATATATATATTTTGAACCCCCTCAATAACAAGGTGAAAGAGATAGCCCATCGACAAGTTCCTTTGAAATTGAGCGTGACGTCGTTGGTTTGAACCCCTAGGTTAGTGTTTTATTTTTTCCTTTTTTAGTTTCAGTTTTTTTTTTTGGTTTTTAAGTTCCAGTTCCGGTTTTCTAGTTTTTTTTTATAAAAGATGCTAAAAGTGTGGTGTTAAACCCAAAAAAATTCAAGGGTCCCATTTCTAATAACTTTTTCACTTCCCAAATCCCTAAACCACTTCCTTAGTTCTTCCCCAACACTCAAAATGTGTTTAATGATGTTTCAACAGATGATATTATTTTGTCTTTTCAAGCAATGAAACCTCGTCGAATAGTATTGTAAACGTGCTTGAGAAGTATTAGCACTGACTTCTTTTTGGAGTTTGTAGTTAGCACTCTTGTCCTAGATTGAGACATTATGAAGTGCTAATTTTTTTGTTCTAGTTAGCACCATTTTCCGCTCTACTTAGCATCCTAGTTCTAGATTGACATATTGTAAAGGGCTAACTTTTTGTTTCACTGTAATCACGCATGTTAATTTCGGGTTTCTTGTAAGGAAACTAACTTTTTGTACCTATAAACTATGTACTACTACTTCCTTGAAATTTTGTTTTGTTGGCTTATTTACACGTTTATACTTTTATTTTTCAAACCCCCTGAACGAAAATCCTGAGTCCTCCACTACCTTAGACAATAATATAAACAAGTCTTTTTGAGATACTAGAATCATTTTCCAACACATATATGCTGAAAACTTCTATAACCAATAATAACTACTAAGTTAGTTAGCCTTAATCAACTTATTTTTGAGGCATTTTCCAGTTTTCAACATATGGAATGAATATGGAATGGAGGGAGTAACATCTTAGCTAGTTAACTAACGGACTTCTTAGCTTTATAAATTTAAAATTGCGTCAAAAACTATAAATCGCGATAATTAAAACTTAAAATAATTTAAAGACAAAAATATAGTTGACTCCTCAAAATCTGTCTGTGCCACATAACGTAAAATGGGAAAGAGGAAGTAACACGAAATTATATTATAATAATTAATAACTTAAAATATCTAAAAATTATATTAAAATGCAATTGACTCTTCAAATTAATTTATGGAAAAATCCTTTTGGCCAGAAAATTTGGCCATAATTTGACCATAATGGCCCAAATACATGTTCACACTATAAACTGATTTATTTTTTTGACAACTATACCCTTCTTTGTCAAATTTATATTTTTCTTATTGATTTATTCATTAATTATGCTTCAATAAATGAGAAAGTTTTCCAATACATAGTAAATTGACTAAATTTTAAATTTCTCTAACTTCCATACATACATGGCTTTTAATTTCTTTTAGAAATATTGTGAAATGGTCAAAGGCCAATACATATGTAGTTTTTTTTTTTCTTCCTTAATTTTCTGATAAAAAATCTATAAAGAATACAAAATTTAAATTGATAATTAGAATACAAAATTTAAAATTTAGAATATAAAATTTAAAATTTACATTACAAAATAAACTTACTCATAAAATTAAATTCAAAATAATTTTAACTCAAACTCATCTTCTTGTAAAGTCTATCATAGATGTGTCGATCTTTTCACAACTACAAAAAAATTACAAATATGATCGCAAAAGAAAATAATTTTAGTTTTTTTTTCTTTTCTCTCTTTTATTCCAATCTCACTCTTTCTTTTTATTTTTCATCCTTTTCAAAATAAGAAATTAAATAAAAATAAAATATTCAGATAATGATAAGCAAATAAATCCACAAATAAGATATTTAAGACTGAAATTAAGCGTTTAA